TTCGACAATTTTTTGTCATAACCAGGTAACTAGTCGAAGCGTTGTACATTTGCTGTTATGTTAAACTTATATTAAAGTTTTTCTTCATTACCCATTCAAGCCGTCTCCAGCCATTATTAAACATCAAGATGTATAAAATATCAAATTCACAAATTAACAACATTTTATAATACACAATCAAAATCTTTAGTTAAGCCGAATAATGGTTGTAAAAGTAATTTTACATGCTTGAACATGGTTTCACGTCATCTTCAGGAGTGTGAAAAACAGTTACTGTGTGCTATACAAGTCCAATAGTCACATGACAATGGCTGTTATACTTATGCAGCACATAGTAACTGTTTTTCACACTCCTGAAGATGACATGAAACCACATTGAAACTTGTAGAGTGACTTTTACAATCGTTGTTTATTTGTGAATTTAATATTTTAAATGCATACACAAGCTCCTTGAATTTAACCTTTTATTATCAAGATATATGTATGTGACAAAATCATTTAATTGACAAGTTAGGGATAAAGTAATTTTCAAAAGATGTGTGGTCTGATTCAACATAGTTTTCATATGACAAATAAGTTTATATCTATATTTCAAAGAAAATCCTTGTAGGAAATTTCAAACTTCTATTAGTATAGCACAATTCTCAAAAGTAAACTTTGATGAATTTTGTATAATATTGTTCAAATATCAATAGAGAATCTTCAAAAATACTTCAATCATACATGTTCCAAGATTCTCTATAGCAAGTGAAAGGATAACTTATAACATTTGTTATTATGTATAATTAATTGCATACTTAAAAATAAATGTTTGAGAAAAAAGAATCTATATTTGAGTTGATTTATGTTTGAAACAAACAAAATTGAATATTAAATTATTTTCTTATTAATTTAATGACTATTTGGGTTCCAAAAGGACACTCTCACAAAAATTAAGTACATATAAAGATTAGATGAGTACTTATGGGTTACTTTTACTACTACTACTATTTTTAAACTAAAGAGGGTGAAAAGAGCTACACTGAAAATTACTGGCCAGTTAAAGTGAACTTTCTTCTGAAGTAAGGAAAATTCTAGAGAATCTGATAGCATAAAGACACAAATGTAGTTCTTTAAAGTTGTCCTAGAACACCCACCACTGAGAAAAGTAAAAATATAAATCCATCCTTTAATTTTCAGTAAATCTTCAATTCCTCTCTCAAACTCTTATAAAGTAGACTCTTTATCTTGTCACCCCCCATATTTTGGAATTTGTAAAACATTTAATAAGATCACTTTTTACTCTCCTATTCTTGAGGTAAAATATTTAACTTAGACTGTTAGAGATCTTAACTGAAATCAGCTGAACTTTTTTTTTTTAACTTAGCTAAGTAGTAAGTGATACACTTTAACAGTTTAAGTTTAACAGCCATGGGCTCTTGCGATATAAACATCGAATATCCTGGGCTACGGCTAAGCATAACTTAAGAAACGTCGCTCGAAACATCACGCTTCAGACTTAAAACTTAAGAAATCAAGTTCTAAATCATAGATAAATGTAAATCTAAATTCATGTAACTTGTAAGCCTAATTATATATATTACTAACCAAAAGTGGTAAGATTATTTCATATTTCAACGTCAGTATCAGTTTTTAGAATCTTGAAAATTGTGACATTTAATCTAGTTACGAATTTCTTTGATAGTTTCCTAAATTTAAAATCACTAATTCAAATTATCAAACTCACCATTTCCTATATTACTACTGTTACATGTGGTTAAAGTGAGAATTTCATTTACTCACTTGTAGTGTCTTATTTACACACTTTCACAAAGTTTGTTGTAAGTCTGCTAATGGTATTATGATAACATAAAAACAAAATAAAGTAATATTTTTCTTATTAGTATAAACAAAGATAATAATAACTATCCAAAAATATGAAATATTTTATTGGTTCCGAAATTGATAATAAGCTGTCGAATTACTATAATATTACACATAAAAATGAAGAACAGAAAGAAGAAATATAGTCGTAAAATGTAGCAAATCAGCCACATCCAGAAACATTGATATAATATTTAGATGTAGCAAAAAACTTGAGAGACAAGATCGAGATTTACAGTGACAATAATTAGATCATCAATGAAAGCAACAACAAATTTAAACATGAAAGAGGCTTCGGTCTATAAAATAAAGCAGAATTTGATTTTTACTAGCTAAAACATATAAATTAATTTAAAGTTGGTGCTTTGATGTTGCGACATTTTTAGGTCACAATTGCGACTGAAAAGATAAGTCACTGAGTGAACTTGACAAAGCAAAAGGGGAAAAAAATAAAGAAAATGAATAGATGTTTTCAAACTCTTAAACAAATTAGAAAAAGGCAGAGCAACTTGCTGTTTTTCAAGACTTTGCGATTATCCGCAAGGCAAAAAATGTAATGAGAGTGTTAGAAGTGAGCGAAGAAAAATGTAAAAAGTGTAATTAATTTTGTGTCACTTTTTCATAATACCCGCACGATAGTTTATTGTAACTCCTAGAAATAATGAATTATCATTTTCGAAATTTTAGCATCCTTTATGTGGTCTACATATCTAACACATTTATGATAAGATGGGCAATATATACGCACGTGTCCAGAGTGTTGGCAATAAAAATAATGTAGTGATGTTTCAATAGTGATTTCAACTGCTTATAGCTTCTAATAAAAGAGTCAGCGTTAATGTAAAGAGAAATAAAGACTCGTGAGAGGGCTAACTCAGATGCAAATAAGACTACGCTAGATTTTTCATCCTTGGATGCTTGATTTACCACACTCATTGCTGTCGTTCTGATTTTTGCTGCTAACATAGCTCGACTTTCCTTTTTACTCACTACTTTCATACTTATATGTTATGTTGCTCAACATTTAAGCTACTTTCTGACACTACCTGTTTTGATTTTTACTTCAGCAACGACTGTTAAACTGGCGGCATCTATCGAAGCTATTAATCATTACTGCAATGAAAGTAATGCATATTATTATTTTTTTTATTTTAAATATTATTCAAAGTAATAGATTTATGCATTTAATTTTGAATAGGTGGTAAGTCATGCTAATTTCATTGAAAATCGGGTTATTAACTATTTAACAAATTGCAATGTAAGATGGAGTATTGATGTTTCACAAAAAATATAGTTGGGGTAATTACAATAGGGTGATATTTTACTGTTGCTTCATATGAGGTGGTTAGGTCAACAGCTTCTTACTATTAAGATGTGTTTACCTATGTTGTGTGTGTTAGCATTCAACCCCCCAAAATTGTCTGACTTGATTACTGTGACTCTTGATAAGGTAACTGGAAACTGCCCAACTGTGCATTTCCACTTTTCATAGAATTTTGGCTTTGAATTTAAAGAAGACACAAGTGCGGAATCAGTTAAATGAGTCAATTATTACCTTCCACAAAACAGGGTATGCAATTAGCATCTAATAAGGTAATTAAGGATTTAATTAAAGAGAAAAAAAGAGAACATTATCTAACATTGGCCTTTATACTATTTCTGCTTCCTTAACGAGTAGCTTCAGCTAGTATATGTAAATATTCATTTGATTTAAGTTTGATTCTAGTAAATGTAACCAATGGATCTGTACAATTGACATGATGTAAAAATAGCTAGAATAAATAAGCACCATTTCTTAAAACATCTTTACCATAATGGCGATCTGTTATTTCATACTTATTGTAAGAACAAAACGGTTACTTTTATAAAAGTTATTGCTGAGTCGCAAATGGGTTTGAAACACTGTAATTATAATAATGTAGTTCTGATTGTAGGAGGGTTAATATTAAATGTTATATTAATATAAATTATATGCTTACTCTGTCATTAAACGATTTTCTTATGTTTAAAGTTTTAAAATTGTGGATTGAAAACTGCAGATTGCATATATGTAAAATGTTACGCTAGTATTTTAGTAAGTTTTACAAAATGAAGGGACTTTAAATGTTGCGGTTTGGAACACCGAACGCTAATGAAGCTTTATAAGTCAACATATTAAAAATTTCTGACACAAATCACGCTAGACTGCAGATAATTTTCAATAATAACTAGTAATTTGTCTATTACGGCAGCGTTTCCTATAGAGTGAGGCACCCTTAAGAAGGGCGCAAATGATTTATTGGGGCGCACGAGCGATTAAGGTAGAGTCAGTAGTACAACAATGCAAAATTAAGCGTTTTAATATATTTTTTATTCATGAAAATAATAAGTTATTACTACAACACATATAACACTTTAATGTGTATTATATCTCGTCAATTAACACATTTAGAAAAGAGGGGGCGCAAGTAACCGTATATATGACAAAAGTTTGGGAAACTCTGCATTACTGTTTTTAAATCTGAGGCGCTAAGACGTTTATAACAGTCTTTTGTATGACACACGTCGGCATACAGGAGGAGTTGTGTCCAATACTCTAGAACTGGTCAGCTAGGCTAAAAGATGTCAGACAAAGGTATCTTTAAGTTGTTATATTGCACTCATAAATAGCAGTTAAAGTGGACAGATATCATTATAAACAATTAGCAACAGCTATTTCCAACGATTTATATGAGCATTTAAATTTAGTGGCAAACAAATCGAATGTTTTTACAGGCATGAGTTAATTATAATTAATAGTTATGTTTCAATATAGTTTCTCGTTTCAAAAACGTCAAAAATTAATTATTTTCGTTGAGCACAAAGATATACAACGGGCTATCTGTGTTGTGCCTCCCCTTTGGTATCGAAACCCGAATTTTCGCGTTATAAACCCCAGACTTATTGACGAGCCACAAGGGGGTAAGAAAAGGTGACGTAATTTATTTATGTGTTTACTCAGTCATTTGGCTATTCATCTTAATTGTGTTGTTATATGTTTATAGGTTTAGAATAAGGACTGTATACATTTTATAACGAATCAAGGACGCTGAATCAAGGTTATCTGAATTCAAAATTAAAACTGTATTTCCTTTTTCTTTCTTTTTTTCAGTTACCATGAGAGAATAACTTTGTTAAATACAAATATATTTACCACGCCTTTTAGGCTTCAATATACAATTTAAAATTATCATTTAAAGCAAGTTTTATGGAAGTTGTTTGCAGTTGACAAGAGGAGATTATGAGATAATTGAGGGGAGGATCGATAATGTTTCGGTGCGACATTCTATGTTTAATAAGACAAGCGCAAAACTAAGGAAAATAGCGTTCATCTGAGACTTTACATGTTTATAGCTTATGTTATGTTTAGAATATTTGGTTAGTTTCATGCTTGTATCTTTCGGGGAGTAACGGTAACGTCAAGTACCTAACCTAACCTTATATTTTTTAGTCACTTTAGTAAGCTTGCCTATGATTTTAATCATTTCTTTAACACCTTCTATTCCCCATCTTACAAGGCTTACATACGTAACGGTTTTTAACACCCAAAGACCATGAAATTGTTGGAGAACATGTCAAGACATAACACTTCATAACTTAGAGAATATTTGATCAAGCTCGCTACAACATTGGTCAAACTAAAAGGTTATACCGAGTCTTTCCAGATTCTAGAAATCAAGCTAGCTATTGCTCCAGCTTACATGAGCACAATCTTATCAGGGGCACTGGATTCCACTTAAATCAAGCTAGTTACTGCTCCAGCTTACAGGAGCAGAATCATATCAGGGGCACTGGATTCCACTTAAATCAAGCTAGTTACTGCTCCAGCTTACAGGAGCAGAATCATATCAGGGGCACTGGATTCCACATAAATCAAGCTAGTTACTGCTCCAGCTTACAGGAGCAGAATCATATCAGGGGCACTGGATTCCACTTAAATCAAGCTAGTTACTGCTCCAGCTTACAGGAGCAGAATCATATCAGGGGCACTGGATTCCACTTGAATCACTTGGAACATGAGCTGGAATGCTCAATGCACTTTCTCTATACAACTGGTAGAGTTTATTCAATATCAATAAGATAGACAAGGTGTTTATTCTCGAAATCTCATCATTGTTTCCACGCTTTTCATCTGAAATAAGAATGGCAAGGGGTTGTCCACATTTTCAAAATAACCAACATCTTAACAAATTTTATGAACTAGTAGTGCCCATCAAAAGCGAAATCTGTATTCGTGTCTCTGCTGGCTTCGAAAATTATGGAATAACGTTTTTGAGCTTTATATCAACAGCCGCTCATGCACAGTTGTCTTCTATGGAAGCCCTTTTTCTACTTGAAAGCACGCTTTTTGAGTTTCGCCAAATTTGAATTTCACGTCTTATTTCATTAAACCAAATAATTTGGCGTCTAGCAGGGCTGATATTATTATGCAATTCGTCATATATTGTGCAATTCTTATAAGTTGGTGTGCTTAATAGAAATGACAATTCCAAGCCTCTCTAATAAGAAATAAAATATCATAATTCTGATTGGCTAGGAGGATCAGAAAATGTTCAAAAAGCTTCTATAGTGTATAATTTTGGCATTAGGTGAAAGCTCTCAATTAAATACTGCTCTGTAGATTTTTTGGAACCAATCACAACACAAGATACAAATCATACTTGGGGCAAAATAAATCGTTTTGACATGTTAACATAGTCCAGCTTTAGTTGGTATTGAGTTTTGATATCATATAATGAATGCCTTAAAAAAATCTTGGTCATTAAAGATATAATCTCAACCAACAAAATGCCAAAAAATCAAGCTACTCATTTAAAACACACTTTTTCGACTTAAACATTGGCCAAGCTACAGTAATTGTTTTTATAGTCATCCTAAAGTTGACCATTGCTACCTCAAGGGGAGGCTAAAAAAAAAAAGA